GTGCATTATTTTTTTCGCAGTCGAACAGTGCCCTTCATGTATTAATAAGACGTGGCTTTTAACGCCTCCAAAACCTTAACTATTCGCGAGTTTATTCGAAAGAAAGGCTTCCAAACTAATCTTCACATCTTTCTCTGGAGGGAAGAAACGAAATGCACGAAAAAGCGTTTCGGCGAACACTTTTGACCGCTACTGTAAGTTGTAGCAGCTCTCCAGCCACTGCTCGCCGTTATGCGCAAAATTAAAATGGAAATATTCTTCTCAAGTTCAACCGATCCGCGCAACAGCGACTGATTCTAAAGAAAAATGATAATGGTTTCCAACTCCTAATAAGTTTACTGGCTACTACCCTGTTTTATTTGCCTATAACGCTAGTAAGGTGTTCGAATTGAGAAATTTTCATGTGGTCATTTGGCCAAAGTATTCGAGCCCTGACCACTTTCTGGAATGTCAGAAATGAAGCGTAGAGCTCTTTCTAACCCTCACTGCGCTTCATAGGGATAGCATGGGCGCAGGCCTTCGTGGTCTAATATGCTTAAACCCCTCCGGAAGACTATTTGTAAAGAGCGAACTTTAAATTACCGCCGTGGCAGACGTGGTCGAGATTTAGAGTGCATGCCATTAATGGGATGCATTTTTGTCAGAATCGGGATTTCCATCGGTTCACCTATATCTGAGTTAACTGGCCGGTCAAGCGAACACACTAACATGCGATTTCATTGGCACTGTCGTTTGATTGGCACCGCATGAACTAAGCCACTAGCTACATCACCATATCTTACATAAAATCAGCCGCTAATCTGTGGTTCATTGTCAGTGTTGTGGCCTATATTCATCACATCAAGGGTTCGAATCCGTACATGGGACGAGTTTCGCTTGCAATAGTGCTTGTGCTTGCAGGGTTGACCATTACGAATCTGTGTTTCATTATCAGTCGTATTCTCCTTAACCCATATCTCTCGTTGGTGGCCTCTGATCTTCGCCTTTGGGTCCGTTGAGGATGACTTGTTGCCGTCTGTGACTTCTCTGGCTTATGTGAGAGTGAATTAGAAGCGCTGAAAACTTCACTTCGTGAAGCCTAATTGCTAGAAATCGTGTACATCGCTAGTGTTACTGACAGCTTTGATAGCTCAGGTTGTTTTGGTTCGAAGTACAGTTACGGGTGCCAGTGGACTTTTTGATGTTACTTCTTACTTAATTATAGAGCGGTACGTGTTTTGCATTCCTGCGATAGAAAACCATCAGAGGGTTGTTTTCCTTTCAAAAGTGATGCATTGATTCCAAATGCCGGAATCGCACGTTTTCTCAGAGTGATGCGCATGCTGGTCACGCCGATTATATTGTAAGAATTACAAAAGAACTAGTATAAGAGTTAATTATATTAATTAATTCTGTTCAGACCGATGGGTTGAAGACTACCAAGCCGAAAGAATCGAAAAGAGCAGACAGGAATTTGTGAAGCGAAGCAGTTCGCTTCCTAAGAAAAACAGCATGGAAAGCGACTTTGTTCCCTTAATGCTCATAAGTCTTCAAGCATAGGGGCATCTCAAGTGTACACTTTAGAATTCAGACGTAAATTATATGATTACCAATTCATTTCTAAGCTCTCTTATGAACTGGCTTTGATTTTCTTTTCAACTCATTCCAGAGAGTGACCACCCTTTGTGTAAAAGAACTTCGAAAATCTGCTGAATTAGTTTTTTCCCCTTGGACTCTATACAGGGTGGCTACTAAATATTGGCGCATGGTTAATTGACCATATTTCCAAAAAGAGAATCTATTAAATCTTCAGGGTTTATCTTTATATACAGTAGAACATAACAATTCATTACTAGAGAAGATGCTCGGAAAGAAGTCCTCCGGCGGCGATACAGGCTTCAAGTCTCTTCTCAACTGACATCACCGTGGGCCGCAAGCAGTTTTCGTCGAGTTACTTCAACGCTTCCTCCTAGGAAGCCTTCAGGAAGTCCAAACTTCGATGTTGCCTAGAAGGCATCTTCTGCTGCAGGAAGCCCCACACCGCAAAATCCATTGGGTACAATCGGGTGAGTTAGATGGCCAAACATCTGGTGACCAGTAACCTGGAAAATGGCGGTCACAGAACACCAGCGTAGATTTTGCGGCATGGGGAGGAGCCTAGTCTTGCTGAAGAAGGCACTGACATTTGCTGGAGGTCGAAACAGTCCATGGAACGAGCACATCACGTAAAATTGTTTCCTGGTAGATCTGGGCGTTAATTTTGACGGATTTGTCCACAAAGACAACGGTGTCTCGGTGTCGGAAGTAATTCCTGCCCAAATCCTGAGATTTTGGAAATCGGCTCCTTGTGTGCGCATGACGTGGAGCAGGATGTCTGCTAACCGGATC